CTTCTTCATTTTTATGTTAATTCTTTTTTGTATAATTTGAAGCATTTTATCAGAATAAAACTGTTTTACTGACTTAACATGCAGCGCCTAAAGGTACTGTTCTTGTTTCAGAACCTTTGCCTGGGTCGGTTCTGGACCGGGATGAAGTGAAACAGCGAAAACTGAAAGATTAAAGCCGAAAACCAAAGGCTCAGATCAGATTCTGGTTCTGGTCCAGTCAGGACCTGGGATTATGTGGACATGCAGACTATTGCCGATAAATCCCTTTTTAAATCGTTGTGATTTAAATTCTAGATTATAGAAAACTGATTTGAAATCATGTTTGTTGTAATGGACCTGTGACTCAGATCCAGCATTGAGTTCTGAGCAGTCTGTCCGCTCCGGTCTCTGGCTGTTATTATAAGTGGACACACCCAGCTGGTACTGACCAGGTTCTGCTCCACCGTCTGGGCCTGGGCCTGTCGGACCTCCTGCCTGCCGGTCTGGTTCTGGTGGGCCGACCCGTGGAGCCGCTTGGCGCTCAGAGAGTGTGTAGAACTGGGAGAAGTAGACATGAAATCAGGTTCTGTTGACTGACCGACCAGAACCAACCAGAACCTGAAACATCTCCAAAGTAGAACATGATGCTGCTCTGCAAACTGGACATAGTCAGAACCAGAACTTCATAGTAGTCGGAATCTTCGGCTCAGAACTGCAGATCCAGACGGACCGGTTCAGGTCCAAAAGACTCCGGACTGCTTCACAGTAAATCTGCTGGAACCAGCAGCAGTTCTGGTACCTGGCTCCATCCTGTGGTTCCGTCTGGTTCTCTGGTTCTGATAGAGTGTCGGGAAGCTGCTCCAGCTGGATCCGAGTTGGGTTAAACTGTTCCTGTTGGACCTGCAGACAGACAGAACCTAACTGGGTTAACTCTGGTTCTGGTTCCAGATGGATTGTCCTGCTGGTTTTGGGAATAAAGCTCAGCTGCAGGAAGGGGCAGAACTGGGTCAAGCATCAGAGCAGAACCACATATGGAAATATCACATCTGCATTCCGGGACTGAAGGGGGCGCCATTTCCTACCCCAGCTGTGGTTTTATGTTTTCTGGTCGTTTCTGGCACCATAAAAGATAATTTCTCTGATAAAACGTCACACTTTATTTTCTAAAGGAAGAAAAACAAAAGGTAAAATAAAAATCGGTTCAGTTTATATCTGTGAATCTATGCCCGTGTATTTATTTATTTGATCATGCGAGGATCGTATTCTTCTGCATAACTCATTCATTTGTTTGTTTTTCCCATTTGCTAAATGAAGTTTCTTGAAGAAATCAAATATTTGTTGACTGTAAATGCTGCTTTGTTTTGCAATGTTGCTTTATCTCTAATTTATTTCTATAATTCCACCTGTAAATATTATTTATAAAGCCTGGTTTATTATGAGTGTAGCTTATGTTCTATTTCTATTGTTAACGTTTTATTTGAATAAAAAAAAAAAGGCTGGCCCCATTGCAATGTGGAAGTGAAGGGGAGCTATTGCCATATTAGCTGTGATATTTCAGAAAACATAATTATAAATATCAATATAGTTACAACTAAACAGATAATGTATTTTGCATTAATCAATATGTTTGATTTATTCAACATTGTAACATAAAATATAATTAAGAAATTAACTGTGGTTAATATAGTAAATGGCGCCCCCTTCAGTTCAGGAGTTCAAATGTGATATTTCCATATATGGTATGGTTCTGACTCCGCCCCTTCCTGCATCCAGGTGCTTCTTAAACCTGGAACCTCCCAGTGTCACCTGGTGGGCTGGCTCCTCCCTCAGCTGCCGAAGCTCCGCCTCCAGCTCCGCCTGTCGGACCCTCAGAGCCTGAACCTCCGTCCACAGCGCAGACAGCTCCTCCTGCTGGACACAGAGGGGATTAACACCATGACTTCATAAGACAGTGACCTCTACTCGACCTTCTGACCTGAGGGTCCTGCACCATCCTGCAGTATCTATGGGAGTCCTGCAGGAGGCGCCGCAGGCTCTGGTTCTCCGCCTGAAGAACATGGACCTGCTGCTGATAGCGCCGGGCCTGAAACAAACAGAGACGATGGATGAACCGGGTCGTCCCCCAGGTGAACTGGGATGAACCCTCTCTGCCACCCTGGTAGCCCCTCCCTCTGCACCCCTCCAGGTGTACCTGCTGCCTCAGTCCTCTCAGGTACTCCTGCAGTCCAGTAGTTGCCTCCTGCAGATCCCTCTGCAGCGCTTCGTTGGCCAGAATCTGACCTGCAGCAGCACAACATGATGTTGTTTAAACACCCAATCAGAAGGCTGGAGGTCCGGAGCAGCTCTGTGATTGGTTGTCCTTACTGCTGGTCAGCTGCTGCTCCAGCTCTTTGATCTCCTGCGTCTCCATGGCGATGCGTGACAGGAGGTCATCAAGGCGACCCTCCAGCTGGCCGTCCTTCCTGCTCATGGTGCTGGGTAGCTGGACCCTCATGTGGTTCTGCAGCAGGTTCTGATTGGACCTCAGACACAAGCAATGAATCACTGGAATGATCTGGATTTAAAGTCACAGCGTTTAATCTGAGCAGCACCAGACGACCCGGTTAATGTCTGAGATAAGACCTAAGTTTCGATGGACGCTTTTCCCTCCGGTACCTCTCTGCCCACCATGCTGTGGGACAGAGGTGCAAGTTGGATTCGTAACTGGCGAATCGCAGCCCAGCTGAGGAACCTAAAACTCACCAGCGGGATGAAATTGATCTTGAAGAAGTTGCTAGTTTCAGTCCGGCAGGAACGACCACACTAATTTGGATTATTGGAATGAACAGAGATGCATTGGTGAGGCTGTAGGGTAGATTGAAATTTAAAATGTACCTGGCCTAAAGCATATTGTCTGTATCTGAAATGGCTCCCCTGTGTTAGCCGTGGCTGGATAGCTATCTCAAATCTCCTGGAAGAAATGTAAACTTGACGCTCCTGCGCATCCCACTCCTTTCTGAAGACATCCGTGCTCCCAAGGACTTGCTCTTAGATAAGACCATCATAACAGAGACCACTAGGAGAGCTAGCACGTACAGGCTCATGGACATACATAGCAGATACTCTCAATTTTTGTTTGCTGCCTCCATATCTGTGCCTTATCTCGCTATATGTGCCATGTTCTTCATGATGTTGCTATTTCATCCTACTTATTCTTTACTTTTATAAATGGTGGAGTACTCATTACTTTAGACCAACAGTTAGCTTTATACTTTTAATATCGAAGCAAGACCCAGAGAAACTCCTGTTAGCTTACTTAGCAACCCAGAACAAGAAGAACCAACATTTAGCTTTATATTGCACAAATCCAGAACTCACTTTTTCCTCCCGGTGGGACCTGAACTCCTCACCAGGGAGGCGTCCAGGAGGCATCCTGACCAGATGCCCGAGCCTCAACTGGCTCCGCTCGACGTGGAGGAGCAGCGGCTCTACTCTGAGTCCCTCCCGGATGACCGAGCTTCTCTCTCTAAGGGAGAGCCCAGCCACCCTGAGGAGGAAACCCATTTCGGCCGCTTGTATCCGTGATCTCGTTCTTTCAGTCGTGACCCAAAGCTCATGACCATAGATGATGATGGGAACGTAGATCGACCGGTAAATCGAGAGCTTCGCTTTTTGGCTCAGCTCTCTCTTCACCACGACGGACCGGTACAGCGCCGGCTTCACGGCAGACGCTGCACCAATCCGCCTGTCGATCTCCCGTTCCCTTCTTCCCTTATTCGTGAACAAGATCCCCAGATATTTAACCCTCCTGTTATGTTTGTTTCTGAGGGACAGCAATAATGTTCCTGGTCAATTTGACCCAGGGAGTGTTTAATCATGCAATAGTGTCAGAAACCACAAAATTCCTCCCAAACATTTTTATACCTGATTATTAACTCCAATACTAACCATTTCAATCAATATTTGTGCTGTGATGTTTTTTTTTATTTCTCACAAATAAAGGATCAATGATGACAATTTATTCATTTGGACATAAAAAAATTATTTACTGAAAAAAACCTACAAACAAAAAACAATAATTTCCTTGAAATTGATCTTTCGTAAAAAAATTTATATTATATTTTGAATTTTTTTTCAATGGGTGATCTTTATAATTGAACTTGAGACACTAAACTGTTCAGGGTCAAACTGACCTGGTGATTAAAATCAAGACAAATGAGTCATGCAGAGTATTTATGTTTCCCTCCATTTCTGCCAGTGTCACTCAGTGTGGGTGGAGTTTGTCCACTCAGTGTGGGTGGAGTTTGTCCACTCAGTGTGGGTGGAGTTTGTCCATGGAAACAGAAAATGTTCCCGTCAAAAGCTGCATGAACACCGGCTTTCTCGCAGTTTCCTAGTTAAGACAATAGTGAGAAAGTGGGTCTGTGTGTGTGTGTGGTCTGTGTGTGTGGGGGATCAGGGGGTGAAATATGTCTCATAGCTGCAAGGAAACATATAGAATTTGACTTTTTTTTTTTTTGACCCTTTTTACCCTACAACTTGACCACCGGGTCAAATTGACCCGAACACTATCTATGTAATATGTAGACGCAGGGGGGGTTGCAAATGTGTAAAATGAATATATTTTCAATTTATATTTAGAGTGCACCTATTAAGACAAACAGAAAAAGTTTCATGCAAAAGAAATACTTCCAACTATTTTTTTTTGGTAATTTTAAACTTTAAAACGGGCAACCCGGAACATAACAGGAGGGTTGAAGTGAACTCTGAACCGGTAGAAAGCCTGTCTGAATGCAACCTGACTACAGACCGTTCCACAAGCAGGAAGTTAGCATCAGTGCAGGACATTCTGGTCACAGATTACTCTCTGCTCTGGGTTAGTGGAGATGGTGTCGGTTGTCATGGCAACGGGTCTGCGACACTAGGCACAGGAAAGCAGAATATAAATGGTTTGAAGTTGTTTTACAACTGGTTATCAGCTCAGTCTCATTGCTGTGGCGCGCTGCAGATGCTGTAGTTTTTAAACCTTTAATAAATGACAAAAACTGATCTAACTGCCTCATTTATTTGAACATCATCATCAAATAGGATGGAGAAATTTGCTGAGTTCTCTCTTGCATCTTGATAGGAACCAAACTGCAGGGGTCCTGTGGTGGCGCAGGGACAAAGCATAACCCACGTATTGAGGCCTTGGTCCTCATGGCGGTGGCCACAGGTTCGATTCCCGGCCTGGTGACATTTGCCGCATGTCTTCCCCCTCTTTCCTGTCAAACTACTTTCTAATAAAGGCCACTAGAGCCAACAAAACCTTTAAAAAAGAAATCAAACTGCTTATATAGATTTATATCAAGGGAGAATACTTACAATCATCACCAATGTCCTCAGCTTTAATTTAAGCCATGTTTATAGAAACTGGCTAAGAAATAAAGGCGCTGCGATCATTTTGTGATTCCTGCTCATCCCGCACTGGAACAGCCTGGTTTAGTGGACAGACTCGCTAGCGTTAGCGGCTAACAGGATGTACCGTATATGAATGAAGAAATCCTGCAACCGCTAAAATCTGACACTGCTCTGTTTTGGTTTACTTTTTGTGAAGAAGGAAGTTGCGCTGCTCTTCTTCAGAGGTTTTGTGTCGATTTCTTCAGTGGTTCTTGGTGCAGCACCCCCACAGGTGATGGGGGAACAGGTTTTTCAGTTAGTTTTAGTCGTTTGACTCAGTGCAGTGTGAATGCAAACTACAGTTCTGAAAATGTAACAAATGTTGCAATTTTAGTCCCCAATCGAACCAAGTCTACCGGACTATCCGGTCTGAATACACCCCAAGACAAATATCTGGCCACTAAACTAAATATTCTATTTTGTGTCAAACTAAATAGTTAGCCATCAAGATAAATATGTAGCTAAAACTTTATTTTAAGCTAAATAATTAGAACAAAAATAATATTTAATTGTCAAGCTGAATATCTAGATAAATATTTAGTTTGAGGCTAAATATGAATAATTAACCACATTATTGCTGTTAATTTTGATTGGGTGGCGTTTGCAAACACAGAAATGTCCTTCAACATTTTTTAGCTGAAGCTGTCGGCCATTTATGATGACATCGTCACTTCAGATTAAAGACCATCCATCCTGACTTCAACAATAAACACAAAGGGGAGTTCATGACTCCAAATGGGAACACATCCAGAGCTCCATCAGAGGTCAAAGGTCACCATCTGTAATGTAGAGGCAATCCGTCTTCATCTTTCAGCCAATAAAACATCAAATTATTCAGATCAGAACCAGACACGGTTTACTCTAGGTTTGGATCAGAACACGGAGTAGTGAATGGAGGATGCTTGGATCGCACTTTAGCGTATTATTGTAGTTCATAGGTTTGAAACTGTTTATCTTAATTGAAGGTGGGTCGCGACGTTCCTCTGCCACTTTGTGAAGCCGCTCACAGAAGCGTAGAATCAACGTAAATCTCACAATGATACCTACTGATACCTAAACTTTAAAGACAAACCTGCAAAACATTTTTAAGTTTAGGATCTGTAATAATTTACACACCTTCCAGCAACAAGTCCAACTAATTTACTTGTTTAATATTTTTATTGTGTTGTTGAGGAAGTACCTTACGTGCGTTTTTTTGCCCGGATGTTGTTTGGACTCTCCAGTTCTGGATGACTTTTATAAAGTCAGTAAGATCCTAAGATGGTTCTGTTCTGTTGTTTTATTTTGGATTTATGAGTTTAAAATTAAATTCTTCTTCATTCAGTCTTAATGTGAAAAGCATATAACACAGAGACAAAACCTGGACCATGTTTTCCTAACAGTCTGGACTTCCGGTTGGAAGCTCCTCCTCTTTGTCTGATGAGGTCAGATTCGGTTCTGAACTTATGGATCAGAACCGAGTTTCTGCAGTTTTCCTGAGGAAGCTCCAGCTCCTCTTCCTCGGACTCTCGGCTTGTTTTACTCACAGCGTTCAGCTCTCTGTCCTCCTCTTCTCCATCTTCTCCTCTCATTCCTCCATCTTCGCCTCCTTCTCTCCGTTACAAACTTCTGCTCTTCCCTTTACTCTGTTGAATAAAAACAGGAAATCGCTCTCTTTTTCAGCCAATTAGAGAAGAGTCTGCGGGGTGACCAGGAGCTGCTGTCCAATAGGAGCACAGAAAAGGCAGAGCGTGTCAGTACGTCTTAAAGAGATAGCGACCTGATTCGATTCTCTACTTCGGAGATTCATGGAAGGAGGAATATTTACAGACTCGTTCAATAAATTATTAAACCATTAATAAAAAGCACATTTATTTAAGGAATTTTGTCACTAATTCAAACACACTAAATAGATTAACAACACAGAGATCAATGTTTGAAAGCTTTTATTTCTGTAAATTATTTTTTCCTCTTATAGCTAATGGAAATAACCAATTTAAAATTATATATTACATCCTGTGTAATATTAAATAAGACCAACAAAAATTAAGAATGAAACTAAAATAAACATGTTTTATTTTTTAACATCTCAACTAAAATATTAAAAACAGAGCCGTTTCTACTTTACACAAACATATTCTATAAATTAGGACTTACCTCCCAGTATGTCTTGTTGTCAGATCAAACTTACCCGTTTCTGTCACTCTGGTATAAATAAATAAATAAATGTCATTACTTCCAGATACTATGAAGATCCAGTATAAAGAAGATAATTTATCCTCTTTATCCTGGATCTCATTATTTCAAGACACTATCTTGAAATTTCAAGATAATTTTTTTTTTATTTTTTTTTAACCGGAGTGGTGCAAACAGGTTTCCATAGATTTTTACTCCAGGTTTAACTCATTTACATCCATGCAAGTTTCCTCTCCTGTTTTCTTTTCCTAACCAGAAATCAGGAAGCGTCTGGAGTTGAACCAGAGACCTCTTGATCTGTTACCAGTCCCTCCCGACATGTTGCTGCTGTTCTGTGTTTTCAGTCAGGATCCAGATGAACCTCAGAATAAACTCTGAGCTGCTGCAGAACCTGAGCCTCCAGGTAACCTTTGACCCCTTCAAAACTTCTAGTGATAATCCAGATTAATTTCATTCTCCATCTTTTAGCAGCAATGAAGGCAGAATAAAAACACTGATGCTTTTTAAGAGACATTTTTGTTTAATAACTTCATTTATTGTCCAACACTAGAAAAAATACATCTGTATTAATAATGAATGTTTAATAAATGCAGAGTTCTGCCTTGGACCCATTCATGTTTAAACCGTGTCCAGAGATGACCCGGTCCGTGGGTCAGGGGCAGCCGAACAGCTGCAGGTCCACAGCGTAGCTCATCAGCTGGGAGTTGTAGTCCTGACACTCTGAAGAACTACAAGCTGCGGGCCACAGCTCCACCAGCGCCTCCGAGTCCAGAGGCAGCCGGTACCTGCTGGTCCAGAAACACCACAGGTGAGACCCTAACCGAGCTGAGCAGAACCTGGGCAGAACCTTAGCAGAACCACCCACCTGGACCCGCCACCCTGCGTGACCTCTGACCCCCCAGAGCCCAGTACCAGGTACTGCTGGTTGTTCTGCAGCTCCACACTGCTGCAGGTCGCCTTCTTTACCAGGTCCAGGTTGCTGCCCGGACCGGCTGCTTCCAGCACTGGGACCAGAACCAGAACCAGAGTCAGAGTAAAGTCAGGAAGGACCCGGTTCTACTGGACCCACAGAGCCAGACCAGATCATCTCAGTCATAGAACCAGAACACCGTCTGCTGGGTCAATTCCTGTCCGACTCTGCGCTACGTTGCATGCTAACTCCACTTAGCGCCTCATGAAGCGTTACAAGAGAAAAAAGTGAATAGAAAAACTAAACTTCAGTCATTCTTCCTCCATATTGATGTTAGTGACTGAGTGAAAGACCATGCAGTGGCGTCCATGGTTGCTATTGCGTTTCCATGGTAACAAGCTGGTCTCACCTTCAGACTTCTTGAAGACCTCAGCTACGGTGGCTGTGTAGGTCATAAAGTCTCCCTCCGCTGCCGAGGATTTCACCGTCACCTTGAAGGCTGCAGAGGAAGCAGGCAGACCAATCAGAGCTGCATTCAGTGTTTTTATGAGAAGCCTCATATTTCCCTAATTTAATGTAGCCTATTTGTTTTTTTATTAATGCAGTGATTATTACTTTTCTGTAATATTTTAATCAAACTTTTAATATTAAAACAAAAACAAATTGAAACACCTCAAATCTACCAAACAGACCCATGATAATTTATGATTATTATAAATAACATCTTTAAACTAATCATTAGTTATATTTCTGGGTCTCCTGACCTCCATCACCTGGCTGTTTGTCGGCCCCCCATCTGTTTTCATATTATGGTATGATCCCAAATCCTCACATGTGATTGGCTGCATGGCAGCCTAGTGGCCAATCAGATCAAAGATCTGCTGTGAGGAGGGCGGGACCACTGAGAGGGAGAGCTGAGGACCAGATGCAGCTCCTCCAGGAGCCTCTAGGGGGCGTGTTGGGGGTTTTCCAACATAATTAAACCATATTATTATTGCCTCACAATTCCTTTAACTTTACCTGTAAGAGATTATAAACCCTCCAGGTGAGTTTAGAGCTGCTGCTGTGACCAGATCATTTCATCTTTAACCTCCAATAACGATCCCATCTGAGAACCTCCATCTGTTTTTAACAACACTGCAGCTAAAAGCATCCAATCAGCTTCCAGCCTCTCACCGTATTTGATATGCGGCTGGCAGGTCTCCTCGATGCGTTTGGCTGCGGTCAGAGTGGCGTCCATACTCCCTCTGTAGGTTGCACACGCAGCTGCAGGGTCACACAGCACTCAGCTTAATAAGGTCAGCTGCAGCTGGAGCCAGCCATTCAGAACAGAAACCCGCCTCACCTGCCATGCACTGGCACTGTTCGCCCACACAGAGGCGCTGCAGCCTCTGCAGCTCACTGGAGAACTGCTTGGTGCACAGGCTGCCTGGAAACAGAAATGTTGCAGGTTAGCAGCAGATTCTCATCAACATGGAAACGGAGAAAAAAAGATTTTATGAGATTTGCTCAATGAAAACATTAGAAAAAGGTTGGAAACCTGGGAACCGGGACCGTCCCCAGGTAGGGCCAAATATTAAAGGCCCGAGTGGGTTTGATGTAGGACCACTCTGGGAGAACAGTAGGACCCAAAGACACAGCAGACCTTAAGCCAGTGTTTCTCCATCCCAGTCCTCACCCCCCCTGTCCTGCATGTTTTAGGTGTTTCCCTTCTACCACACCTGGACTGTATCTCTGGGTGATTAACAGGATCTGCAGCACCTGGTGGTCATGTAATCATTTGAATCAGCTGTTCTGGAACAGAGGCTCATCTAGAACATGCAGAGCAGGGGGGCTGAGGACCGGAGTGGAGAAACACTGGTTTAGCACTTTGCTAACGGGTAACCTTCAGAGCACTTAGATTCTCCTAAATTAATTTTCTCTATAAATTGTGAAGTGCTAATTTACTTGGCTGTTTTGTAAACTTTCAGTTGAAGAAAGTTTGACATTTTTATTGAAGATTTGGATACTGACTGTTAAAAATTCCCTTAATATCTATGCTCTTATTTTGAAGCCTGTTTACACAGCAATTTCATTTCCTGTCTCCACATTCTTTTTTTTTTTTTTAAGAATCTTTAGTAAATAAATGGAAAATATACAGCAAGCCAACAAATGAGGTACACAGAAGAATACAACTCTTATATAAAAAACAGGGATGTTAGTTAAACTGTTGCTCTGCAGTAAAAAATGTCCTTCTTCTTCCTGACCAGAGCTCTACCGCGGCTAATCAGGCTAAATCAGCAACAGAGTTAGCAAAACTCAACAAATATAAAACTGAGAGCAGGTTCTGATCCGAAGAATCACTTCCTGAAGCTCGTCATCAACACATGGAGGGCAACATGGGTGAATTTAGCATTTTAGCATTAGCCACAAATAAATCCCATGTAATGTTTACAGCTGGGGCTTTAGCATTAATGTAGCTAGCTTTTTAGTTAGCGGTGCTCAGATAAGAATAATCCAGTTTAATCTGAAAAATTTGAGCAAAACTTTAACACTCAGTTACTGACTGACAAGAAGACGGTTCAGGTCCAAATGTAAGACTACATGTCCCAGCATTCACTGCAGGCTCACCTTTGTCCTGAGGTTCTGTGACGGTCATCAGGGACTCAGCAGCACCAATCACCCTGAACCTGGTTCTGACCCGAAACCCGACACACAGGAAGACCTCAGAGGGAACCTGAGGGTCAAAAGATGGGAAATAACAAAAATACTGACGGAGGCTTCTAATCACCATCGTCACCATCATCATCATGTGTAGGTTAGCACACTGCCGGGATGGAAAAACATCAGCGATGACCTGAAAGAAGCAACTGCTGCTGGGAAGGGTCAAAGGTCATCTCTAAGCTACCTGAAATCTGTCATTCCGGAGAAAGTAAGATTATTCCCAATGTTGTTGCTGGGACGTCCGGAGTTGTCTTTGTGAATAAAAATGGGTTTTATTTACCTGAACACAAGAAAACTCAGTCTGTCACACCTGGTGCCTATCGGCTCCTCAGCAGAACGAAAAACAGAAGATTGGCTCTCAAACGGCACGTTGGAGGAGCAAAACAGGCACATTCAGTGACATGCAGGAAATATTAGTACAGAGGATCAAGGCACAAGACAGACAAAATAAATTCTGAAGGAATTAACTTATTATAATAAAACAAATTGGGTGGGATACCTGAGATACACATGAACAGTAAAATAAACTAATAAATTCAGTGTCTCTCACACCAAGATGATAAAAACTAATAATAAGAACTTAAAATAATTACAAAATTAAAATAAAATAAGCCCTGCGACAGACTGGTGACCCGGCCAGGCGACCCGGCCAGGCGACCCGGCCAGGCGACCCGGCCAGGCGACCCCGCCTCTCGCCTGGAGCGACAGCTGGAGGCAGCAGCAGCTCCTGACCCACTGAGGGACCAGGGTGTTAGAAAATGGATGGATGGATAAAATAAAAAAATTAAGATGACAGGAAAAGGTCAAATTGGATGATTCCAGAGAGGAAACTGTTTCAATGTTCAGCTC